ATCATATGATACGGAAGCATTTTATTTTAATCACATTTATTATAATATTATAATTAATAATTATACATTGATAACCAAATCTTGTATTTTATTTATTAATTGATTACATTATAAATTATGTAATGTACTATTTTTCTTATAGTTGTAAATAAGATTTTTTAAGTTAGATGATATTATAAAACATTTTAGATTTGATCTTATTTCTATAATAAAATCATTATAATATATAAATCAACAATTTCAATTTCATTATATAATATTCTAGTTAGTTAGGTTGTGATAATTTTGGATGAATAAAGCGAATTAATAAATATTTATACTTTGATGTGATTCTAATTTCACCTTATATGGAAAATTATTATTTTTAATCCTATAATATAGAAGTTGTTTTTAATTTTTTTAAATTATTTTGATGCAATATTATAATATTATATTATAATTAATAATTATACATACATCCAGATAGGAAAATAATGTCTTGATATTCACTTATTTTTATAAAGTAATGGAAGTACATAATGCACCACTCCAAATTTCTTTTAGAAACTAGGAACACTATGTTTAGAGATTTATAATGATTTTTTGAAAAAAAATTGGAAAAAAAAATTGCCAATTCTTCAAACTGATCTGCCGATTCACCGATTTGGGTCACCAATCGGCTTTTTTAAACACTGGATTACACTATGGTCCATCAAAGACAAGAAAGGCATAGCCACATATGCGAAGTCCACTGATTTAGTCCTCGCTTAACTAGGCAGATATACCTTCAAATATAGGAGGATGACTACAAATCTAGTCGTGTTTGTTTGTACGCATTTTTGACGCATCCATTCCCCATGCAAATAATAGAGGAGATGGTTGCAGCTGTGGCTCTTGGACATCAAGTATGTCTGAAAAGCCATGGAAGCACAAGCATAATAAAGCCCATATTTTGAGGAGTCCATGTATGATATCATCTCGGCCCTAGAAAGAGCACCAGAGTGGGCCCCAATACCCCAAGGATATCCCCAAATTTCAGTCCAATCGGACGTGGCAATGACATCAAATGAGGAAAGTAAGGTCAAGGAGTACAGTACTCCACAGGTGTAGGGATGAACAATTCAGTAAAACTCCTAGAAATTGTTCTCAGATGGCCTTAGGAATGTCAATATGAGTTCAGAAGGCTAAAAAACCCCTAACCCCGGAATTTTAAGCCAAATGGGCCGGGCCTTTCTAGGCCCTATTTTCAAAAGTGAGTTGTTCCTATATTATTAAGGATTTCACAGCTTGAACCAGTTTTCAAATATAGTAAAATCCTGCAACACTTCCTAAAAAATGGACAAATTTTGTGCCCTTCGAGCTGAAATTTGGATATGTCGTGCTCCTCGATGAACATGGTCTTTTGGTTTAGGCCTCACACATGATCGTTAACCGGATCGGAAGAAATCTTAGAGAGAAGTCCGTAAGTTTTAGAGTTCATGCAAAAAACAGCTTGCATTGTCTCTTTGCATACTTTCAATCATACTCAACATCCAACCATCAAATCAAGCTCGAATTTAGTATACTTCAATCATGACTCGATTATCTTCGATTTGACATAAAAAAGTCACGATCGGGATTGAGATCGATGCCCATCCAATGCTTGAAAGTGGGTACAACTTCAGATGTAGCACAAATTTGGTTTTTTAACGACTTGCCAGAATCATAACTTGGTCGATCAGAGGTCTTTTCGCACGATTCTTGATGCAAAATGATTGTGTTGGGTTCCCCTTCGATTTACCACCAAAAGACCTGCAATAAACTTGGCATATTTGGAGTAATCGATCGAAAAACACAAATAAAGGTTTGCATGAAAACCATGAAACTCAAAACCATCAAGAACTTCATCAAATGCTTATGGTTTCTTGCAAATCATATATCAAAATGATCGTAGCAAGACGATCTACGTTTTTCCTATGATAGATCGTCCATCTCGGAGCTGGAGAAGCCAAAACCAAGGGCTTATACCATGTGGATGGGAAGAGGCCCTTTGTGAGGGACCTAATTGGCAATTTTGGACATTATGCATGTCCTTTTTGGTCAATTTTCTATTTATACGAATTTTGGTTGTATTTTTTATAATTTTTTTTACTCATTTCTCTAGGGTTTTGAGTATCCACCCTTATTCAAAAGGGAGCTCTATATAATCCCCACTACCCCCACTACCCATGCAACTAAGAGGGCTCTCTTTGCATTGTGATTAATGAAATTCTAACACCTTTGAGAAAGGAGCGAGAAATTTTTTTTCCAAAAGAGTTCTTACCCCTAGATTTAACCTTAGGTTAGTCACCTTAGTTAGTTTAACCTAACCCCAACCCACCTTGGTTATGTCTCTACACTTAACCAATGCCTAAACCCTAACCAAACCACATTCCCTTATCCTAATCATACCCCCATACCCCATCCTACTCCACACTCTCCATCCTAACCTACACCATACCCTATACCTAACCATACACCACACCTTAGTCCACACCCACCATACTCCCTAGTCAACCCCATACCATAGTCCCAAGTCAATGTCCACCATACTCCATACACCACACTTTACCCTACTCCCTACCATGCAACATAGTCTACTGCCTATACTCACGCAACCCACTTAGCCTAGGCTAGCCTTTAAGGAGGCTCTTTCAAAACGGTGCCTGGATGGGCTTAGACCTGTGGACCCCAACTACGGATTCCTCCGGGGTGCTTCAGATAACTGCCGAGCAGCTTTCTCATGTCGTCAAACCCCCCCCCCTCCCCCATGGGAGGCACAACAAGAATTCTGTTGGATTCAGGTCGACTCTCTCCATACCCACTTACCTACTCCTAAACCGAGCCGATCCATCACCTAGCTTTAGGCATCTTAGCCCATCCAACCCACTTTAACCCACACGTCCCCCTCGCCTCAGCCTATTTGCCACATTTAACCCAAACTGAACCGACCCAAACCACACCCTATCCGAACCAAGCCAACCCGAACCAAACCGTGACAAGCACATAGACCGACACAGTGAGAAGTGTGAGGGAGTGGAATCAAACCACGTCTGCCGACAGATGTCAGAGGGCATTCCATGGCAATTCTAAGCCGGGATCTAAGAGATCATCCGGACGCGTCCGAATCCCACTCAACTCATCCGGACGCACCGCACTGCACACCTTGTCCACGCACACACCGCAGGAACCAGGGTCACACATGCACACACGCATGTGAGAAGCAGGGCAGACGACAGTGGGGCCGGCCGACCAGTTTTTACCAAGCATTAACTGAGAAACATGAACTTTGCATAATTTACTTCAAGAAAATATCTCGAGAACTAAAAGAAGAAAAATAAAATGAAACATTTTCCATGAAGATAAATATATCTAGCAAAAATTTTTGGATAATGCAAATAACCAGCATTTTCGAGGGGCCCATGGCCTAGGATTGTCTATAAATCATCTAGAGGAGTAAATTGAGTTCCAAGTGTCTTAGAACGAAACAACCAATTTTCTGAGCAGAGAAGGGGGAGCGTACAAATATGAAATGCCTAGGGAATATGAGTTGGCAGAGGCATGCCCCCAAGCCTCCAATAGGAGATCTTAGCAACTTAAAGGCTAAGGGTGGCAAAGGGCCCAGCCTGGGCTGAGCCAGGCCAGGCCAAAAACAAATGAAGAAAATAAAATAAAAAGAAGAAAAAAAGAGGGCTGCGCCAGACTGAACCGGGCCATAATTGGCCCTAGCTCGGCCCTCAGGCCATAGTTTGTGGGCCATGTCCTACTTCTTTAGGATCGGGCAGATCAGGCAGCCGGGCTGGCCCATTGTCACCCTATTAAAGGCCCCAACAGTATTTATTAAAAAAAAAAAATATTTCTGACTCTCTGTTTGCCTTTTCTTTCACCATTTGGCAACGATTTCAGACATTTAACGAGATATAGAAGCCACATATCAGCCCGCAAAAGAATGCACGACAAGCCTGATGCATCTCCTTACTGAAGCCTATTATTACATGTCTGAGCCATCCATTTTCAACAGACAGGATTCAAGGGCTCGTAAGGTCCAGCTAGAACAATAAAGTAGGCATGAATTCTACAGGATGATTCCCCTTCATGATGAAACACAAAAGGGTTTTTCCCTTTATAGCATGTTTAAAAGGCAGTATCCACTTATGAAAAAATAATGAACGATTATGGATTCATAGCATTTCTTACCTCTCAATGAAGTCCTTGTGGTTTTCTGAAAAATCTTCCCCAAGTCTATCAGATGGCTGCCCCGTAACTATCTTGTATCCACAAAGACTGTTTGTTGAATTTGGTGTCTGCATTAAATACATCACTCGGTAATGGTCAAGTGTAATTGGGTGCAGCAAAGAAACAACAAAGTGCAGTGAAAGGAACCAGAACATTAATGGAAAACCTTGTGGGCCAAATGGTGGAAGGTGTATAGCAAGCACTCAACATAAGCCAAGTTTGTCTCTTCAGCAGATTTTCTGCGAGGCATATATATCTAGACAAAATATCATGTTCAACTCTCAGTATAGAAATAATAAAGATTAGCAGCAAGCAAAAGTACCCATCTATCTAAATGAGCTCAAGACCTTATATGAGAAACACAAATACCTTAAGCAAATTAAGAACAGATGGGAGAAGATTGCGTGAGTCCTGTGGCGTTGTATAGGGTGAGCTTTCGGAGAGGTTCTTCAGCAGATCATATTGTCGTTCTTTAGGAAGCTGAATGATGAAAGGCAACAAACAAGTTCATCACCAATGAAAGTCAGAAAATTCATTCCCAACTCACTTTTCATAATTTAGTATTGAAACACTGAAGAATTAGGTCTATATTTGCATTTATATCATATCATTGCCATGAAAAGGAAAGTGGAAATTACCTTGTCAAAAACAGGCAGAATATGTTTGTTCAAGTAGTTCAGAAATTTGCTATTGGATGCACCCCGCTGATGAAAACAGAACACGCTGTCGGATGTCAACAAATATGTCGAACTTACAAATGTTATGATATAACAAAGCACTTAAGGTTGAAATCAATGCTTACCATGAAAAAGGGAAGAGCCATGTTCAGACATGCCATCAACCTCTCGACATGATCAATATCTGACACCTGAAGCAACAAGGACCCTTCCATTATAAAAATTGAATAATCGGCTGCATTTTGGAGGTCAATGAAGTATCTGGGGCACTAATTAGGACAAAAGTAAAAAGCACTTATTATGACATACGTGGGTGCAAGAATATCATGAAGCAATTCACTTAGTAATGACCTAAAAGATCATAATTCATGTTATCAAGAACACAAGTATCTGGCGGTGTTCAAAAACCCGTACTCGATGACTGACTTGGTCACAACCAAAACAGTTGACTCATCAAGCAAGTAAGCCAACTTGAAAAAAATCAGCTGAGTATTTCATTGTTTGTGAATAATTAAGCAAAAGAAAACAAAAAAGGCAAAGGGTAAATTTAATGAGTCAAACCCAGCTTGTCATTTAGTCAAACCACATTCTTACCACGTTGAAAAATACCAATTATACGTGAAAATAGCATAAGAAACTTTGTCACAAAAAACTAGGATGCATCCAAGTTTTACCATAAAACTTGCCAACTGGATGACACAAGTTGACCAATTGGTTTTTGTCATCCGTAAAGCACATGTATAAGATAGGCAACTCTTAACCAAAAAAATTTGATGTTGATGGGTCGAAGCAACATGGATGTATATGATATGGCAACACGCATGTCAGATACCATCAGCCTCAGTCCAGTAAGTGTCTGGCATTAATGCCAATTTCTCATAATTCATAGAATGCAAAATGTTTTCCCTTTTCCATTTTAAGCACCAAAACCGGTTTCCACATGCCACTATTCGAAGGCCACATATGCTTCCATATGTTTCTATCGTGATATTTCATTTGTAACAGGTCCATTTCTTTGTAGTGCTGTACATCTCCACGTTTCAAAAGTATCCATGATGCAATTTGATTCATGTTATATTTTACTTTGGTGTTATTTGCCCATAAACTTACCTCTGTTTTAATTGGCTTCTTTGCCAGAGGTTGAAAGAATTAGCAAGAAATTCTCAACCATGATATTGATTGGAAAGCAATATTGCAGAAAGACAAAGCCACATAACACTCCTTATGTTCAGTAAAGCATGTATTAGACGCACAATACTAATTAGTACAGAGCACCAGATCAATGTCAGGAATCATTTCCATGGCATGATATCAGTGACCAACATTATGGCCATTGAATAATTCAAACATAGTATGATAATGAATGAAAGCATTACACAAAGACTACAAGATTGCTCAACCAATTGCCATTTTAATATTCGTAGCACTCAACAACATACAACAAGAATATAGGAACACCTCCAAGAAGTGCACTGAAGAGATGATATGGATATATAATGATGAAATACCCATAATCATGTTTATCAGAAAGAAATGAAATTGAAGCAACATGACAACTTTTTTTTCCAATGGATAACATGAAAGAACACCATCTCAAATTGAGTGGAGCATAAAACCAACAGGATCGACGTAAGTTTTAAGTGAATTCTTCATGCAGGTAGGAAGAGAAGTTATGCCAACATACAGTTACCAATATACACATCAATTGAAATAAATAATAAATAAGATAATCCAAAAATGGATAACCATTTCTAGACTGTAAAATAATCAACTCCGACCAGAAAAAATTGATTAAAAGATTAAACTCAAAAGAAAATACAATCATTTTCTGGTACTTTATTTACGCAGAATGACCTATTGCTGCCAACTTTGGTAACATCCTTCTGATAGGAATATCGCAATCGATGTTAAGTTGTCTAAGAAGCCAATACACCAAGAGATACGGAATCAAAATCACAACTTGGTAACAACAAGACCTCACAGTAGATATAAAGTTGGCAATGATCTAACGTAATGCAAACTATAATTTTTACTAATCAACAGTAAAATTAGAGGTATTATTCTTTGGGACAATTTTGCCAAACCTGCCACTAGCAGTGGGTAGCAATATAAGATAGGTAAAGTACAACAATGATTTTACATGGAAATATTGCAAACATGTGTGGCAAAACTACCCTATCAACTTGAAGATGAACAAAACTGTCTGCGTTTTAATATGCCTATGGGTTGAATACAATACTAACATCAAATTGTGCATCTAGATCAGCTTGCCCTTCAACAATCTCAATTAGCTCTTGAACACTTTCTGGACCAGCCTTCTCCCCAAATATGCTCAAACTCTTTAAGAAATCCATAAACATTCCAAACTCGTCGCCAGTTACATCTTGCAAACTCTGAAACAGTACGACTGTTCAATTCAATACCATAGCACAAAAAAGAAAACAAAAAATGCTTTAAATGATAAGAAATTAGATTTCTGATCAACAACGGAGGGATTATTTAAATTTTTTAGAGCAAATGACTAAGAATATTAATGAGAAAAACAGAGTTTCAATACAAAGAAAAAACCAAAAGAATATAATAGATTACAACAACAAAGCAAATGGCCATGATTCCATGTAATGGATAGAAACCTACTTTCTTAACTAAATCAGTAATATGTCTCTCCATCTCTTCCTGAGGCTTCAATAGCTCAGATTTGAGGGGAAACACCTGCCATAACAAAAGAAATCAAATCAATTAGCTTAAAGTCAAAAAAAATGAAAAAGAGCAACCCTGTCAAAAAAGATAAAATGTACGACAGCAAACATTACTCACCTTGTCCTTGATAAAATTGAGAACCTTCTCACGTAATTGTTCTTCATTACTCACAATATGTGCAAATAATGCTGTTAACGATTCTGCAAACAAAAGTTTTTCCAAAAGTCAAGCAAGGAAAACATAAAATATTGCTTTCTATTCAACTATAATGATATACAAAAAAAGGGTTAAGTTAGCTTGTTTGGGTTTGTCTGGGACAAACTTTGAGGGTTCGAACCGTTGACCTCCCTCGATCAAAACAATATGTCTACTGCTAAAGCTGAAGCTTAAGGGACACTTCTAATAAAACATAAGAATAGAAAAGCGAAAATATTTCTTTTCAAGGTTGAGGAACCGCAGATTATCAAATATATATCACTCTTCATCTTCAGGTAAACCTAGACGTGAAGATATTCAAGCGTTCATTATGAGGGCTCATACACAAATGCTCACAAATGATTAATTGAATTAAAAATATCCATGTCCACTCAGGGTTGAGGGGAGGGAAGAAGTAAAAAGCAACAATGGTAAGAGACTCTTGGGCTTCCAACTACGGACCACTGAAATCCTTTCCACGACAGACTTCACCTTGCACTGGGAAGGCATCATCATGTTCCACTAAAAATCTCTAGATTATCCGCTTGGTACCCCACCACATGGTGTGATCAAACTCAACGTCGATGGCTACTCCATAGTGAATCTGGGGCAAAGTGGTTATAGTGGTATTTCCGTTATTCAAACAGCCTCACTGTATCCTCCTGCGGCTTTCTTGGCTATGGTGATTCCAGCTGGGTGGAGGTAAATGCTGTCCTCAATGTTCACTAAAGATTCGACACCTCCTAGGGCAATGAACTCATCATGGAAGGGAACAATGCCAATGTCAGTCAGTGGGATAATAGGATAGTCACTGCCCATGGCACCTTGCTTATGTTTTTGATCATATATTTCATTTGTGCAGGCCTCTTCGAGCCACCTTGCATCATATCTGGCAGAAGGCTAACTCTCATGTGAACTCCACAGCCAATGAAGGGGCCTCCTTATCGAGGATCACGCCTCTATCTCCTTTTTGACTGATGTGTTCTTATTTCTTCTCCTTTCTCCTTTTCTCCTCTATTCTCTCTTCTCTTCTCTTCATCTATCTCTTCCTCTTCTTCTTCAGTCCCACACCTGAGTCTTTCTTCTCTCCCTACTATCTCGCACTGAACCACCCCCCCCCCCCCCAGGGTTTCTCTCTCGTCCTCTTTCCCTCTCCTTCCTCTGTTTATGCAGGTGGTTCAATCGCTCTTCATTGTGAAGACTCCCTCTCAATACTCAAAATAATCCCGCCTAATATTTGCTTTCAGCTACCTTTACCCTTCGTCTGAGCACCCAACCTGCGGGTGCCCTTTCTCCCCCCTTCTCTCAGAGCACCCAACCGATGGGATGCCCATCTCTCTGCTTTTCATTTTGCACCCCCGCGGAATTCTGTTACGTCTCCCCTTTCTCCCTCCCCCTTCGCTCTCTCTTCTTCTTCTCTCTTTCTCTCTGCATAGCATCATTATTTTGTCCGTGCGCTTTCTGACAGCGCACTTCTCTCTCTCTCTCTCCGCACATTTTTTGACAGCACTCCTCTCCTCTCATCATCTCTTCATTCTGCCACCGCTCCCTTCTCTGTCCCCCACCCCCTCACTTCTCTTTCTTCTTATATTCTTTTTGTAAAGGAGCACCAATTTCTTATATTCTTATTGTGAAGGAGCACCCCAATCTATGTGACGCCGTATACACCTCACTTCTCGTGAGCATTTTTGTGACTATAATGTTTATTAAATATATCTTCACCTTCTCTTAAGAAAAAAGATGGGTAATAACAAGATAATTGCTAAGTGTAAGAAGAGAAAAAGAAGCATCTAAGGTTCCTGCCCCATGGTAAATGATAATATTACCAAGAGACGAGTTTATAAGAACAGGGATGGCCTTCTCATGAATCCGGAGTTTAACAATAACAATATATATATATATATAAAGGAAACAGCCTCCCTTGATGTACCATGAAGATTTCTATTTGGAAAATGACCTCACAAAGATCGTGCCAAACCAAACACGTAGAAATTCAGTGAATTACAAGCAGAATGAAGTCCCAATATGTTGCATAACAATTAGTTGTGTGTCCTTCATCCAATGCTCCACCTGGTTGGGCCCACCTAAGGGCCACATGTCACCAATTACACACAAAAGACCACAGAGTAATAATCATTATACTCTCTTAATAACAAAGAATGATAGAAAAGAAAATGTCAAGTAGAAATGGGAAAAGGTAGGGGAACTTCATTTTGCAGAATAAGATTCTCCTGCTCTTGGATCGAGCAGCAGGGACGAGGGTAGAAAGGCATAAAACAAGATGAAACCATGATGTTTGTTGCCAAATCTTTGGGCATGGAAAGGGGACACGTAAGATCCATTCTTTCATGGACCAATACCTTGAAAACTGTTAGAAAGCTATGGAAGGAGACATAAAATGCCATTGTCAAGGGACAGTTGCTAAAGTGTTAAGAGAGATGATAGGACATCAAAAGGGATTAAGCAACCTGAATGACTAAATTAGTAAAATGGTAAGATAATAGTGGGAAGTAAGCACAGGCTCCTTTGTATAGTTATAGGGATTGCCCTACTAAGGTCACGGACTCGATCTGAATCTCAATCCCACGATTCCTGAGCAGGTCCGCTAGAGGACCGCGATTTCCTAACCCAAGGAATGCACCCCCATGTTGTAGCTGACCGCATATCCAGGTTTGCAGGAAAAGCAATACTCATGATCCTGTTATAAGTGGGACAGCTATCCAAAAATAGCTGGGATCACAATCCCCATGCCATATGGGATTGCAGCCCTATTATTAAGAAAATATCATACTCACAGATTTGTAGCTTTCAATATTAGAAACTAATGGTTATCTAATAAGGGAACATAAGATATAGAAGATTTCTGTCTCCACTATTAGGCACGTAACCATCAATAACCTAATGGATAATGAGACACGTAACAAGACTAAATTCGTCGATGCAATCAACTACTGCAATATCAAACAACTCTGATCCTGAAGTCCAAGACAAGGTCTCAATGGATTTATACAGCGTAGGTTCTCAATTGGATCTCTTGGAAAGGATTTGGCCACAAGGCAGAGGACCAAGATCCCTCCTGGTATGTTTAGAACTTCTTCTGTTTGATTTCATAAATTGAGTTAAATTTCAATTATACAGTTACCTTATATACAACATTTATATTTACGTGAAATAGCTTCCTGGTGCAAACCATGGGGGAAGCACCCCACATTTGCGGTAGATGGCCATGTGTATATTGAATCCGACCTATAGCCTGTCTGGATGTGAACACAACTTCAGCACATTTGAAAAGGTAATATTACTTACTTTACTTAGTTTATTAGCATTACCTATATTATATTTTTCTAAATTTTAATTGTTCATTGAACATTTATCTAATAGGTCCATACAAAGAAGAGGAACAGACTTGAGCAAAAGCGACTGCATGACCTTGTCTTTGTTCAGTATAAAAAAAGCTCCAGAAGCGTTGTCAGGAGCTAGAGTGCAATGAAAGGGAGGCTCTTGAAGTTGATGATATGGATGATACTGGCGAATGGCCTGTTGATACTGGAGAAGATGAGGTATTCCCTGGAGAGGGTTTGACCTTGGGCCCGGTTAGTGAGGCTGTTGGGACACCATTGAGTCATGTGTGGACCACTCAATCTGAATCTCAAAGCCAAAGGAGGAAGGGGAAGGGGAAGGTGAAGGAGAAGGGAAAGAAGTTGACGAGATCAAGAAAGGAGAATGAAGAGGATGAGCTCATTCAAACAAGACAAAGGATGATGCTCAATATGTTGAGGAGGGGGATGACTTTGGTGATGATGGCATGGTCAAGATTCTATTTGGGGTGGTGAGGACATGACATCACATGTGGGCAGTGGACATCATGCTTTGAGTCTTCAATTTTTTATGGTTATCAGTTTATGTAATACGTACTTTGAGTCTTGTTGTCATTTGATGATGTTTGTGTCTATGTAAATAGTGTTTTTTTTTTTGTTTTTTCTTTCAGGGCTTTGGGGTCCCTAAAAATAACCTGAGAACTCCCTAGGGGGTCTAAACCCCTGGCCAAAGAACTCCTTGGGGGCCTAGCCCATGACCGTGACAAGTGCATGATCCCAGCCAACATGTTTGATTTGTTATATTCAGATGAAGCAATGTAAGCCAAGGCTCACAAGTACGAACTACATTCATGAGTTTAAGAATTATGACAAATCGTGACATCAATTCTAATATCTGGAAGGCAGAATTTGAGTATCTAGTGAAGGGTAATCATTGTGTTTCATTAATACGCATCGAATCTGGGGATTTTGGAAAACTTTGTTTGGTTTAAACTGGAATTCGGGAACCAAGAAATCTGTAAAAAAATAAAAATTGCAAATGTTAACTGTGAGAAATCCGTAAATTTTAAGCATTCATTGAAAATTTCCTTAATGAGATGGTGATGTTATTTAAATGAATGAGGTTTCGAAATCATACATCCATGATAGCTCAAAACAAATGGAACAGTCTAGATTACATACACAGAAAATAAAAACTTTTTGGATGAGGGGAGAGCATGTCTAAGTAGTTCAATTTAACTTTTTTTTTTTTCTATACATCAGGTTGAGCAAAATTGTTGGGGTTCGAGATTTCTCACCCTCATGCAATTGTAAAAGTACAAAAAATTAATTTGGAAAAAATAGAATAATCAAAATACCCTCATCGATGGTTGAAAACATGTCTAAATATTCAATGTTACTTTTTTTATATACATCAGAATGCGCTGAACTTTCAGGCATTTCTGCTTCTCATCCTCACACACTTGTAGAAAATGTAAAAAGCATTTTTTTAAATTAATCATTGAAACGCCCCTAAAACTCAACATTATAGTTCACCTAATATGATATTGATGGTCAAGAGCATGTCAGAATTTTAAATTTATATTTTTTATTTATATTGGAATGAGCTGAAATTTTGGCATCTATACATCTAAAGCTCCCGCAACTATGAAAATATTTTGTAGAAAATAAAATGATCAAAATACCTTTGAAACTTTGAAAGGTATTTTGGTTATTTTATTTTGTTTTAATTTTTTATATATACCCTCCAAATTTTATATCGATCCTATTTCAAAAAAATAAAAAGAAAAATAAATGAAGAAATGCATGTCTCACATTTTCAAAATGACAAAATGGTCCAGAATATGAAAATTCTATATCCCCCATTTTTAAGAAATTTATCCTTCTATTTTTAATTTTTTTCCAGGGTGTGGGTGAGGGGTGAGGGGTGGTTATAGCTTGAAAATTCGGCCACCTAGGCAGTCAGGAGGCCAAAATGCCTACGCACCATGCGTCTAGGCGCTCGCCCTAAGGCAGGCGCCTAGGCAGCACCCCATGATAGGGAGGCCGAGGGCAGAAAAATGCACTTGGGCATTTTTGAGATTTTTCCTCCTTAGAAGGAGGGAAAAAGATTCAGGGGGAAATTCTAGTCCCCCAAAACCCCTCTTGTGCATACTAAGAGAGAAAAATTCTAAAAAAACTTGGAATTTGAGATTTTCCGCAAGATCGAAAGAATTTGAACTGTTTTGATTTCTTGATAAAGAAAAAGGAATACTTCGAGATAGTTTTTGGAGCTTGGAGTGGTCACATAAGAGGACTTTTGGAGACCAAAGATCACTGATTTGGGCCAATATCAATTCATTTGGAAAAGGTTAGAGCATTACAATAGTTTAATTAGGGTCTTGTATTTTTTTGGTAAAATATATTATGATTTAATGATTTGGTATTCTTTTACTTTGTTTTTCTGTTATTTTTACATGTTTGTAGTAGGAAGCCTGAAATATTTTGTGAATATTTCGCGGTTTGGACCTATATTGAATTCGTTTTGAAAATCTTAGTGCAATACAAAATTTGAATTAGGGGTTTTTTTTTTGGTATAATGTGTAATGTTTTGAAATTCTATTATTTTTTGTTTTAATTTTTTGATATTTTTACATGATATTTTTTTGTTTTTCTTTGTTGATATTTTTACATGTTTTCCTTCTTTTTTTTTTCCGGTGATATTTTTATGAGGAACACATCCCTCCCTTCCCTCTTGTTGTTCCTGGGAAGCGCCTGGTTGCCAGGCTCCCAAACGGCCTAAGCAACCGCATCAAACTTCTTGAACATTGGTGGTGGCTGGCTTGGACGACTTGCCACACTATAAAAATTCCACATTTCCCATGTTTCATCATCATCAACCAAGACTTATCCCAATTGTTTGAGGTCGGCTATATGAATCTTGTTCCGCCATTCTGCTCTATCAAGGGCCATGCTCTCAGTCAAACCATAAGTCACCATATCTCTATACACTACTTCCATTTACATCTTTTGAAACCATCCATTTGGCCTTTTAGAGCCTTCCAGTTGAACTAAATTTCCCTTCTAACTAGTGATGTATTAGAGATCCACGCAACATATGGCTAGCCTACTTAAGTCTCCTTCCCTCATCTTATCGCCTACTAAAGTCAATCTTAAGCTGCGGATGTATTCAATTTAATTCTATCATTTATTATCTTGCCACTCATCCATCTCAATATCCTTAGCTTAGTTGCGCTCATCATATGGATATGTTGTTTCTTGGCTGCCCAATATTCCATCTCATAAAGCATGGCTGCTCTTACAACCATCCTATAGAATTTCATATAAAACTCCGGATATACATTTCTACCTCACCCACCCAGCTCTAATTCTATGTATAACATCTTCATCAATCTCTCCATTCTCCTAGATTATCGACCCCAAGATATCAAATATAATCTCTTTTAAGTATTTATTGGCCATCAATTTTAACTACTTTCTCATTCCTACTCTTATTACTACTAAGCTTGCATTTCATATATTTTGCCTTAGTCCGACTATTTTTAAAATCTTTAGAATCTAGAGCATCCGTCCAAAGTTCTAACTTTGCATTGACACCGCCCCTAGTCTCAAAACTATACACCACGATACCTTATCCTGTAGATGCCTAGTTAACTAGTTTATATCCAAAAGGACCAAAACAAAGAGATATGGGCTCAACGCTGACCCCTGAAGTAGGCCTACTGTCATTGAAAACTCACTTGTCTCTCCACTAATGGTCCTCACACTAGTTAGTGTCCCCTCGTACATATCTCTCACCGTATCAATATATCTTCTAGAGACTCTTTTCTTTTCCAAAACCCACTAAATTAACTCTCAGTACCCTATTGTATGGTTTCTCTAAATTAATAAAAATAATGTGCAAATGTCTTCCCTTCTCCCTGAACTTCTCAATCAGTAGCCTAAGTAATAAAATAGCCTCAATTGTTAACCTCCCTAGCATAGAACCAAATTGATTTTTTGACACACTCGCTTCATGTCTTAGTTGTTGCTCAATCACTCTCTCCCACAGCTTCATACTGTGGCTCATAATTTAACCCCTTCACAGTTTGTACAATTCTGTATATCTCCTTTCTTCTTGTAAATAAGTACAACAATAGCAAAGAAATAAGTACAACAATAATACATATTAATATTAATTACCAAAAAAATAAGTACAACAATACTTTTTCTCTATTTGTCTGGCATTTTCTTTGTTCTGAATATCTTATTGAACAGTTTGGTCAGGCAGAATATGTCAATCTCTACCATGCACTTCCAATCTCTCCCTAATTTATTCTTCCCGATTTTTTTTTTTTATTATTATTTTTTTTTTGGAGGGCTGGAGGAGGCTGTTTGGGTTAAAAGACCACATTTCTCATTTTTGAGCAATGTGGACTTCATCTCACTATAGCATTTCCAGTTGCCAAACTACAAATTGCCACAGTGATATGGAAATTTCAATTTTTTGGCACCGAAATTTCCAGTTGCCCCCTAAAGATGAAAATTCTCTTTTGTTTCTTTCTTTTCAAATATTTAGCACTAATTCCCATTATATCAAGCCAAGAAAGAAAAGGTAGCACGATTGGTAAGACCTAGTGAGCCAGTTTCCATACCAAGGTTAAGCACGCACATTCAACGACAATACTACGTAAAGCATAGGCACCCACCTAATAAATTCTCATGCCATAGGCACATAACAAGCAAAACAAGAGATGCCAAAGCAAACAGAGGAGAACGTTTTTTGATAAATGGAGAGGGAAGCAGTGAAGGAATTTTTGCAATAGCAATTTAGCTTTGAAAGGGGTCGGCGTGATCCTACAAATCAATATACATGAAAAACTAAGGATTGAAGTAGCAAAAACTGGATTCCAGTAGGAAAATCTCGCCCAAGCCAACTTGACGCTTGACTCTTCAGTAGGCCAATATAAATGAAAAACTCAGGATGCAGCCAAGTTTATCGCCATATATCATTAATATAAAATTCTTTATGGTGCCATATATCATTATATAAAATTATTTATGGAAACTTGTTATGCACATGGTCTCTTCCTATGCATGACAAAATGTATAGTAATTCAACAACAACAATCGTAAATATGTAACATAGAATAAAGCTCAAAACCTAAATTATTGATCCATTTCCACAATGACAGAAAAGAAAATCTACATTGATCATTAAACTATGAAATTCATTTAACTTTAGCAAGTGCAGGAACTTTCAAATGAAAAAGAAATGTAAGGATAACAAATATATTAAATAATACAAAAGGATGTCACCGTCAGTGCACATTCCTTGGTTGTATATAAAAAAAGGAAAAAGAAAAGATACGACCATCTCATGTTTCATGAATCATGAGTATATAAGATTTATGGAAATTATATAAGGACAATACACAATAACGAGCTAAGATAAACAAAGGGATGCAATACCTTTGGTGTGCTGCTTTAAAAAGGACATCAGGGCTTTGTGAACAGCATCACGCTCGAGATTTTCCTCTGATTACATTAGAAAAACAAACAGCTCAATGCAACAACCAACAAAAGCATTCAGTTCCCCATACAATACAAATCAAAAGACATACCAGTAAGAAGAAGTTGTCCTAAAACATCAACTATCTTAGGAACATAGTTCGGACAATCCCTACAAAGAAGCGGAAGACCACGAATTGCCTGTATCCTGATCTGCATGCACAAACAGACTTCAAGAAGCATTCCATACCAAGTATGTGCAAAAAACAATCATTTTGACATTAGAAACAATGCAAATAATTTTAGAAGATTGACTAGCCAATGCCAGAGACGTGACATTTCCCCCATAATGTCTAATGAACATACATGGGACAGACAATAAATTTTCAAGGCCGCTGCAGCTTTAATGACGATGTATAGAAGAGAAATAATCGAATAGTCACAATGAAAACAAATTTAAAAAGAAAGAAAAAAGGATAAGCAAATTATAGTCATGTGAAAAAGTTAGCAACAACTGTGAAACCGTGCCACACAGACTCTGACAGATGCAATCATTAGCAAAGATTGGGACTTATGATATTAGATCAATACTGTTCGGGGGTCTTCAACTACTTCTAATGTGACATGCACTTGGCACAATCCGCTTAGTCAAAATGTTCACGCCTATCAACTTAAAGAGCATCGTCTGTAATTTGCTGCTTGCTGAGACTGTAATTTTTGCTAAGTGAACACAAACTTCACCTGAGGATGATAAGACATAAGTCTTACATGGTTAAATGTAAGTCGCTTCACCCAAGGAATTGGGCAACACTACATCTCAAGCTCGATTCCTACCACGTACCTACCCAAAATAAAAATCCCGATACAAGAAAGAAAGAAATGGTCAGATCCCCTGGGTAGGGCTCCATAGGGAGGAATGTCCAAAACAATGAAGGAACAAACCATGTAGCTCTACATGCAAGCCAAGGGATAGTCCATCTTTAGCATTGTTCACCACAAATGGGGAAAACTTGAGAAACGGGTGAATTAAGGAGTGGGGTGCAAAATTATCATTTGGGGAACTTAATTTATAAGAAAAGAAACTTGGAAAGCACATGATATACAAATCAATACCATGAGAACGTAATTGGAAAATATATCAGCCCAAAAACAATTGAGATATCAATGTGACAAAAGAAAAAGAAACAGTGATCATAAAAAGAATCAATGTGACATACAGAAAATGCATGAAAGGAAAGGACAAAGGCAAACTTGTCTATAAAAACAAAGACAAAACACATCTCAGGGAAACCAGAAGGCAGATGTAAAGTGGGCTAAACCCATGCAAAGAAAAGAATTTCTCTCCACAAATTTGGAAGGTGACATCCTGAAGTGTTCGAAAACATGTGTCCAGAATTCTCTAAAAACAGGTTCACCACTACGACCAAGTTCCCCAATGATTATGATATTCTTTCTTTCTCTCTTCTTTCTGATAGATAACACTGTTAGTATTTCATTATTTGCATATGAAAACATACCAAGTATAGGAATTGATCATCTCAGAAACATTTTTTTGGTTTTGCATCTCAGAATATACATTTTTTGGTGTACTATCAAAAAAATTACAGTTTCTGGCGAAGACAAAAACAAAGGAAAAGAAAGCATCTGATAAGAGCTGTGGGATAATTCTAGTAACTAAAAGTGATGTACAGGAAACCCCTTCTCCAGTCATTTGATCATCTAACTTATTTGACGCCCTCCAAACATGTCAAGAAGAGACAACAAGGTGTATACATAGGTCAAAAATCTCCACAAGGGATTCATGAACCAAGGATAGGTTGTTTTAAGGTCGCCCAACAACTATGATCTTGAGCAGTGTTTGCAAAATCGAACCAGAACGGTTAACCGGATATGGGGCTGAGAGTGGTTTGAACCGGAACCAGACTAACCGGTCAAGTAGATTTAAAAAAAAAATGGGTCAAAAACCCCCCAAAAAAAAAATGAAAAATTTTGATTAAGTGTATAATATGTGATTACATATATTTATCTAACAAAAAAAAAATTGAAACAAGCTTTTTATAAATTAATATTTGAATACTATAGTCCTGTACATGATCCCAAGCAGGTCACATAAATCTTTTTGTTTTCTAGATTAGGATATTCTTTGAAGATATTTATGTCATGTAACATCTTCTTCCAAGAATTAACATATTCATCCCAAACCTTACATGAAAAACTTTCTAGTTCTTTTGTACAAAAATCGGGCACATTAGGAATGAAAGTTTATGCACTTTTTGCAAATAGCAAAAGTAGCTTGATGCTATTAAATCAAATAAAAACGCCAACTAATTAAGATAGGAAAAAAAAGGGACCTCTTCCATATAGTTAGATAAAGCATAATTTATACAATACTTTTTCGATGAAGTTAAATAAAGCATACTTCATAAAAAGTACATTTCATGATATGCAACAAAACGAAAAATCAATGCACAGCACACTGATATGTTCTATTGTTCTTATATGTTCTTATATATATCTACCATAACCATATCAGTGTGTTGTGCATTGATTTTATCAAAAAATAAGAACAGTAGAACAAATAATTGTATCAACAAATAAGTTTATTAAGCAAAATAGAAAAACACTACCCATATTTATCATAAAACATAATTTTATTAAAAAGCCATAATTTTATCAAAAAAATAATTTTATTAAGCAACATGGAAAAACACTTCCCATATTCATCATAAAAGATAATTTTATTAAAAAACCATAATTTTATCAAAAAAAAAAAATTGTTAAGCAAAATAGAAAAATACTTTCCATAAAACATAACTTTATTAAAAAGCCATTATTTATGAAAAAAATAATTTTATTAAGAAAAATAGAAAAACACTTCGCATATTCATCATAAAACATAATTTTATTAAAAACCCATAATTTATCAAAAAATTAATTTTGTGAAGCAAAATGGAGAAACACTTTCCATATTCATCAAAAAACATAATTTTTTATTCAAAAACATAATTTTATTAGAAAGATATTTTATTAAGCAGTATAGAAAAAAATTCCCCATATTGATCAAAAAACAAAATTTTATTAAGCAAAATGATTTCTTTTTTTAGAAAAATCAATTTCTCAAAATGTGAGGGATGATTGGAAATTAAAATCACCTTTGTAAAACTCTCTCTATGTGGAAACGGGCGGGATCGGCCAGTGACCGATCCCGAGTTAGTCAGCCGATTTTTTAAATATCGGCTGTTCTTTTAAGGACTTTTTCCATAACATTCTAAAAACCTTGATAGAAAACGAAAAAAAAAAAAAGGAAAAAGAGAAGAACCAAGAACATACAAGACGATGGTGTAGTGTTTCATTGAACATAAGGCAACCAATATTTTTGCATGCACTAAAAAAACAAAATGTCTCATTTCCATCATTACAAATATAATTATATCATGCACTTAAACGAACATAATTAAAAAAAATCGAGCAAAAGATTGAGCGACATTATCATGCACTTATCAAAAAGGAGAGTCAATTTATCTAAAAAATAATTTTATTAAAAAGAATAATTTTATTCAGCAAAATAGAAAAACACATCCCATATTCATCAAAAAAATAATTTTACTAAAAAATCATAATTCTATTAAAAATAATTTTATTAAGAAAAATAGAAAAACACTCCCATATACATCAAAAAACATAATTTTATTAAACAAAATATTTTTTTACAAAAATCGATTTTTCAAAAACGCTTAAAATCGAGTAACACTTCTAGCAAGAAACGACCCTCTATGTTTGGATAATCGAACAAATAAACATACATGCATTATAAAGGCTTCGATCATCTTTCAAACGCACCAAATCTCATCAAAAAATATTCGGCATTTTTAATTTATTTGAAAAAATGGCGAAAATTTTAGATCTATGAAATTTTCATGATAAGGTACAACAATAAAAATCATATAAAAACATTTAATCAATCATAAATAGACATACCTATTTTATTTGAGAGATTAAGCCTTGATGATCAAAGTCCAGAACTCAATTTGATAAAAAACAACCAATAAACTGATAAAAAAATATGTGTTTTTGGATCGAACACAAGTTCTTTGAGCAGCAGCATTTCGGGCCAAAATCAACCCATAATATTTGGGTTTTTGAACAAATTGAAACATGAATCAGATAAATACTTCGATTATCTATCAAACCCACCAAATTTCTTCAAAAACCATTAGGTATTGAAGAAATTATTGAAAGAATGGCGGAAATTTTCAAAAACCTAAAAAATCCACCATTTTGATCCAAGAAACTCTTCTTTTTTATCCAAGAAACTTTTTTTTTTATGTTTCAAACCAAATTTCTTGTTTTATAGATTCTAGATAGTGATTTAAGTCAATAAATCACAAAAAAAGGCAAAAACCAGGCATGAAACTGAATAAAAAGAAAGTGAAAATTTGGATTCAAGAATGCCTACTACAAATAACGGCCCCAATGTCAAAATAACGGCCGTAACGGGTACATTACCGTTATTCGTAAAAACGCCCCGTTATATCGTCTAACCAGTCCGGTTAGCATAAAACCAGCCGGTTTTGGGCCAGAAAATTTTTGGAGGTGTACCCTAGACTATTTATACCCCAAAACCGGCTCTAACCAGAGTTGGAACTCTGACGGTTCCAATCTAACCAGCCGGTTCCGGTTCAAACCGGCCGGTTTTGCGAACAATGATCTTGAGTTTTCGAGAGTGAATCATGATTGTATAACCAAAGAAAGGGTCCAATGGGTATATCAAAAACAGACTCTCCAATCAATGCCACAAAAACTCCACTAATGTTAGAATTTTCTCCCTTTTGGTTTCCTACAAGTTACACTGTCGTTATTTTCACTAAATCTTGTTTCTCCTCTTGCAAGATAATTAAGTGCTTGAGAATGAGATGGAAGCTTTTTTGTTGGAGGACAGAAAAAGAAAGAATATGGGGGTGACAAAGATCAGCCGAAGAATACCCTTACCAAATGTACATCATGCTGAGAAAAGTAATAAGCCAAGAACACAATAATAAAGAGGTCAACATTGGACCAAGAGAGAGTCACAGTTGGGAAGAAGAGCAGGAAAGCATGAGCAATATCAGGATTGGGACTTGGGGATCGTTGCTTGCTAGAAGTTACCTAGTTAGGGAGTGCCATCAGGGTGCCCAAATAATAAATATTAAAAATTAAAGAATAAGATAAACATA